GAATGAATGAATGAATGAATGAATGAATGAATGAATGAATGAATGAATGAATGAATGAATGAATATTCATTTTAAAGTTGTTTATTTGAGTAAACAACAGGTAAATCCTTGAATGAGAATCTAAGAATGTGGATCATTAATGGTTTTTAAACAATTGTAAAACTAAATATATCTGAGGGTTACAAGTGAAAATAACTTTATTATTGTCTTTGTTTTGTTCAGGATTGTTTGTTTTCTTAGTTTTTGTGTGTTTTTACAGCAGTGATAATGGGGGCGGGGTTAGTTTAACTGGATGTGTAGGACAGGTGTAAATATAAACCTTGTGCTTCTGCCTGGACCTTTTCAGTCCAAATGTTTATATTTTTGTAGTTTTGTAATGTTTTCATTTGTTGCTGAACAATTTTGATGACTGAATAAACAATAATCAATCAATGAATCAATGAATCAATGAATGAATGAATSAATGGTAAGATTAAATGGTAAATGGACTGGACCTGTGGAGCACCTGTGTCCTCTGGGTCTACATCTCCAATCATCTGTGGAGATGAATCAGAGCCAATCATGAGCTGAGACAGCTGGAGCAGAGATCTGACCCTGGAGGAGTGGAAACACCTGAGCTGAAGATGAGACAGGTGTGATCAGGAGGGAGCTGAGGACTGATGGCACCAAGAGGACAAGACCACACATCCTCACGGGATCAAACCAGCAACCTTCCTGTCCCAGGACGACYCTGCCACAGGTTCCAGTGTTGTGGAGACGGTTGTGTTTGCTCTGTCTTTCTAACAGCAGCAGTGTTTCTACATGAGCTTCAGGTCCTCACAAAGCTCCATCAACAGGTTGACCTGGTGAGAAGCTCTCAGTTGATCCTGTTTCCATCCAGTCTTTTTTCTCACAAATATGTTGAAGTCAAAGTTGTTTTTATCCATTAAAACAATATTTTAAGGATTAAAGCAGTTTTATGGGTCACATTAATCTGTGATCCACCTCATGGTCCTGACCWTGATTTACCTGGACTACACCTGGCTTGACGTCGCTGCACCTCCTCAGCCTGCTTTGGTCTTTGTGAATCTCATGAAGCCAGGACGAACTGATCAAGTTAAGTCAAGCTGAGATTTATCTCTTATCCTGGATTTATAAACCTGACTTGTGTCAAATGAGCTCCTGACCAGGTAAACATGTTCCTCCATGTGGGTCACAGTTCATCCCTGAAGGTTCTGATCAGCTGACAACCACTGCTCTGTAATCTGAGTAATCTGAGTAATCTGAGTAATCTGAGTAATCTGAGTAATCTGAGCAATCTGAGTATTTGTGTAGCAGAAGAACAAAAACAAATACCTGCTTTATTCTTTTATTTGTGCGTACTACAGGAAGTCCTTATATGGACTAAAAACACAGTAAAGATTAAAAACATGATTAAAAACACTGAATATAAAAACACATCAACAGTTTTAATCCTTAAACTTTGTCAAATCTGATGGAATAAAAAATGACCAGTTTATGAGTTAAAAACATTTCAAATCAGATCTTTTCTGGAGGAATCTGATACACAAGGTTTGGTCTACGTAGGGTGTAGACTACATAGGATATGGACTACATATGATGTGGTCAACATAATTTGTGGACTATGTAGGGTGTGGTCCAAGTAGGGTTTGGTCTACGTAGGGTGTAGACTACATAAGATGTGTCATATGTAGGATGTGGCCTATGTAGGATATGTAGGGTGTGATCTACAAAGGATGTGGACTGCATAGGATGTAGCCTATGTAGTACATAGCCTATATAGGACGTGGCCTATGTAGTCTGTGGCCTATGTAGTATGCGGCCTATGTAGGATGTGGCAAAATGTGGCCTGTGTAGTATGTGACCTATGTAGGATGTGACCAATGTAGTATGTGGCTTAAGTAGAATGTAGACTACATAGGATGTAGACTATGTGGGGTGTGCTGACACACAACAGGGACAGCCGTGGCACAGCGTGGCTGATGTCAGCTGCGACACCTGGACCTGGACACACAGCCAATAGGAATACAGAACCACGTGTCTCTATGGCAACAACTCGTTTAGTGATGCTGGGGATTGTGGGTAATCAGGTCCATAAAAGATACACTGAATAAAATCAGCAGGAGGATGTTTACAGGGACCAGAACCAGACCTTAGACCTCAGACCAGAAACCAGGACTGACATAAAACCAAAACATGGATCTGGCTCAGCTGCTCACAACTTGTCTGTTGACTCCAGAGTCCAGGAACCTGTCCATCTGTGTCCATCAGTCTACCTGTCCTTGGTGGAGCGGAGGTCTGTGGTGATCGGGTCGTGCTGGATGGTCTGGTGCAGCATCAGGGCCAGGAGTCCAGCTCGGTTCGTCATGGCGGCTCGAAGGTTCCTCTCCTGTTCGAACAGCTCGTCCAGCTTGTACCACTGACAGGGACAGGGACAGACAGAGACAGACAGGGACAGGGACAGACAGAGACAGGGACAGACAGAGACAGACAGAGACAGACAGAGACAGACAGGGACAGGGACAGACAGAGACAGACAGAGACAGACAGGGACAGGGACAGGGACAGAGACAGACAGAGACAGACAGGGACAGGGACAGGGACAGAGA